ATTGACACATTTGTGGGGGGTCATTAAACTCTCTCACTGTCCTCTAAGGGAAGAGAAATAGATTGGCATAAACCCCATGATATGAATCTCTTATAAAACAGATCTATGGCTATAGAAGAGGTGTTTCTGGATATTAGGAACCAAATGCTTGGGCAATGAGTTGATGATGAGTTAGACCTGAATCAACAAGTCTCAATGCTATTCTTCTATTATTCCTTCCATTATATTTCTTCAATTCATTTAGCAAACATTTGAACACCTATTATGTGCTAGGCACTGTCTCTACCCTATACAGAAATGTTTATTGGCTACTGACTGCTGTCTAGCCCCCTTGATATTTAAGGCCCACTGTAATCTGACCATAATCCTACCTAGAATCCATAAGTACCTTGGAATAAGAAGAGTTTACCTACGCAGTGGATAGAGCTTTGACCTTGGAGTCAGGAGGACCTGAGTTCAAATGTGGTCTTAGACACACACAACACATTACACTTACTAGCTGTGTGACCCTGGGCAAGTCACTTAACCGTGATTACCTAGCAAAAAGTGCAAAAAAAAAAAAAAGAGTTTACCTGGGCTCAGTAAGTCACAGTCTGTAGGATTTCCCTAATAAGGTGGAATGGGTGGAGCCACACCAGCAGATACTGGTGATTCTTATTCAAGAATGAGACTGAGGTTTAATTTGTTTTATTTTATTTTTTAATTAATTTATTTTGATTTATTAACAATCACTTCCATATGCTTTTGAGTTTTAAATTTTTCTTCCCCTCCTTCCCCACCACCTCCCCAAGACAGCGCACAATCTGATATAAGTTATACATTTACATTCCTATTAAACATATTTTCACATTAGTGATGTTGTAAGGAAGAATTAGAACCAATAGGAGGAACCACTAGAAAGAGGAAACAAAACTCAACAGAGGAAAAAAAATAGCAAATAGTATGCTTCGATCAGCATGCAAACTTCATAGTTTTTTCTTTGGATGTGGATAGCATTTTCCATCATGAGGCCTTTGGAGATGTCTTAGATCCTTGCATTGCTGGGAAGGGTTAAGTTTATCAATATTAGTCATCATATAAGGTGGCTGTTATTGTGTACAACGTTCTCTTGGTTCTGCCCACTTCACTCAGCATCAGACCATATAAGTCTTTCCAGGTTTTTCTGAAGTCAGCCTGTTCATCATTTCTTGTAGCACAATAGTATTCCATTACATTCATATACCACAACTTGTTCAGCCATTCCCCAATTGATGAGCATCCTCTCAATTTCCAATTCTTTGCCACCACAAAAAGAGCTGCTAAAAATATTTTTGTACATGTGGGTCCTTTTCCCATTTGTATGATCTCTTTGGGATATAGCCCTAGAAGTGCTATTGCTGGGTCAAAGGGTATGCACATTTTGATAGCCCTTTGGGCATAGTTCCAAATTTCTCTCCAAAATGGTTGGATCATTTCACAACTCCACCAACAATGCATTAGTGTTCCAATTTTCCCACATCTTCTCCAGCATTTATCATTTTCTTTTTTTGTTCATGTTGGCCAATCTGATAGGTGTGATGTGGTACCTCAGAGTTGTTTTGATTTGCATTTTTCTAATCAATAGTGATTTAGAGCATTTTTTCGTATGACTATAGATGGCTTTAATTTCTTCATCTGAGAACTGCCTGTTCATATCCTTTGACCATTTATCAATTGGGGAATGACTTGTATTCTTATACATTTGACTTAATTCTCCATATATTTTAGAAATGAGGCCCTTATCAGAGAGACTGGTTATAAAAATTCTTTCCCAATTTTCTACCTTCCTTCTAATCTTGGTTGCATTGGCTTTGTTTGTGCAAAAACTTTTCAATTTAATGTAATCAAAATTATCCATTTTGCTTTTCGTAATGTTCTCTGTCTACTGTTTGGTCATGAATTCTTCTGTTCTCCATAAATCTGATAGGTAAACTATTCCTTGCTCTCCCAGTTTGCTTACAGTATCAGCCTTTATATGTAAATCATGAACCCATTTTGACTTTATTTTGGTATATGGTATGAGATTTTGATCTGTGCCTAGTTTCTGCCATACTCTTTTTCAGTTTTCCCAGCAGTTTTTATCAAAGAGTGGATTCTTATCCCAGAAGCTGGGGTCTTTGGATTTATCAAATAAAAGATTACTATAGTCATTGACTACTGTGTCTTGAATACTTAACCTATTCCCCTGATCCACCATTCTATTTCTTAGCCAGTACCAAGCAGTTTTGATGATTGCTGCTTTATAATACAATTTAAGATCTGGAATGGCTAGGCCACCTTCCCCTGCATTTCTTTTCATTAGTTCCCTTGATATTCTGGACTTTTTGTTCTTCCAAATGAATCTTGTTATTATTTTTTCTAACTCTATAAAATAATTTTTTGGTAGTTTGATTGGTATGGCACTGAATAAATAAATTAGCTTAGGTAGAATTGTCATTTTTATTATATTAACTTGGCCTACCCATGAGCAACTGATGTTTTTCCAGTTATTTAGATCTGATTTTATTTGTGTGAAAAGTATTTTGTAATTGTGTTCATAGAGTTCCTGGGTTTGTTTAGGGAGGTAGACTCCTAAATATTTTATAATGTCTACAGTAACTTTAAATGTAATTTTTTTTTCTGTCTCTTACTGTCGGGCTTTGTTGGTAATATATAGAAATGCCGATGATTTATGTGGCTTTATTTTATACCCTGCAACTTTGCTAAAGTTGTTTTTTATTTCAAGTAGTTTTTGACTGAGGTTTAATTTGAAAACAGGTGAAGCAGCAGCTGATAATTGGAGCATTTGTGTGGTTGCTTGGTCAAGTAAGTCAGATGTCAAGGTCAAGGTTAGGCATTAAGTCAGGAGAAAAGACAATCAATCTGAGACTGAGGGAGGTAAAATTGAGTTCCTTGCCAAAGGCGGTAAATGGTATAAGTAAGAGAAGAAACAGAGACTTGGCCAAGAAGAAATAGACAAAGGGCTTGATGAGTTTGAAGCATAGGAGTAAACTTTTAAAGAGAGTAAATTACCTTGACTGTGTCTTCCTTCCATGAAAAGTTTGTCCTCTTAACAGATAGTCGAGGACCCTCCAAGAATCACTTGCTGTGCTGAGTGGGGCTACCTAAGGAATCTCAAAAGTCTTGTAAGTTAGACAGGCCTACATGTAGGTGAATATGACAGGGATAACGCCGGCTAAGCTGGTAAGGGAAATGGCTGCACTGACAAGGGTTTTGACAGGAAGACAAAAAGGGATGACTTGAGACACAGAAAGCAGTAAAGGACTTTGCTCCTTCAGAGACTTAAAGCAAACCAAAAGCAACAACTTGGCCTCAAGTTAGAATGTTGAAATGGTATATGTAGAAAGAATCATAACCCTAGTGAAAGGTCCTGGGGTCTAAGAAGGAGAGGGAGGACAGAGATCACCTTGACTGGGCTGTTTTATTTTCTAAATCAGGATCAAGCAAATTGAATAATGTGAAGCTGGCAATGATCTATCTCTACTGTATGTCAATTCCATCCCATAGTTTTCCTCACACTTTATGTAAGTTTTGTTGTACATTTGAAATGACTGTGTTGGACTGCAGTGGACAAGATTAGGGAAAGGGGTGTCCATTGTCAGAAAAGGTAACAGAGTGTCAAAGCCCAGGACTGGAGGAAGGAAGGAAAGAAGGAAGGAAGGAAAGAAGGAAGGAAGAAGGAAGGAAAGAAGGAAGGAAGGAAGGAAGAAGGAAAGAAGGAAGGAAAGAATCATTTCTACCTTATGCCAGACACTATGCTAAGCACTTTACAAAAATTATCTCATTTGATCCTCACAACATTTCTGAGGTATATAATTATTTCCATTTGGGTAAGCTAAAACCCTTCCTAATAAGATCAGGGGTGAAGCAAAGATGCCCATTATCATTACTATTATCTATTAGAAATGTTAGCTAGAGGGGCAGCTAGGTGGCGTAGTGGATAGAGCACTGGCCCTGAAGTCAGGAGGACCTGAGTTCAAATGCAGCCTTAGACCAAACACTTGACACTTACTAGCTGTGTGACCTGGGGCAAGTCACTTAACCCCAATTGCCTGGAAAAAAAATTAAAAAAAAAAAAGAAATGTTAGCTAGAGCAATAAGAAAAGAAAAAGAAATTGAAGGAATTAGAGGAAATGAGGAAATAAAAAGTATCACTCTTTGCAGATGATGTGATGGCATGCTTAGAGCATCCTAAAGAATCAACTAAAAAACTGCTCAAAATAATTAACAGCTTTAACAAAGTTGCAGCATATAAAATAAACCCCCATAAATCACCAGCATTTCTTTATATCAGCATATTCTATATATTAACAAAGTCCAGGAGCAAAAAATAGAGAAAATCCTTTTAAAATAACTGTAGACAATATAATTATTCCCATTTTACAATAGAGGAAATGGAGGCAGACAGCAATTTAATGACTTGCCCAGGGTCACATAATTAGTAAGTGTCTGAGGCTGAATTTGAACTCAGGTCTTCCTGACTCCACTTCCAGCACTCTAACCACTGTGCCACCTAGCTGCCTCAGAGAGATACTTTATGGTAGCAATGAAAAGATAACCTCAGATTCACCATTTGACAAGATAGGGATACAGCGGGGAGCGCATCTAGTCTGGGTGAGCTGTCCTTTCTTAGACCTAACATTACGTTATTCTCCTATAGAGGACTGGCCTTGAGGTAAGGAAGACTGGGGTCCAAGTCTTGCCTCTGTCACATACTGTGTGACCATGGAGAAACTAATTAACCTCTTAGTGTTCCAAGCCATGCTCTTGAATTGCAGAAGAGTTACTGATCTTCACGGTAAAGGGAGTTTTCACACCAAGAGTTCCTAATGCCAATAAAGTCAGGGATCTGGACTCTTAAAGAGTGGGTACTGTCTTCATTCTTCTCATATCCTTCTTTGCATTTTGCACAATATTGGCCCTTAAAAGACACTCACCAAATACTCTCTGGTTTAGTGACTGCTTATATTGTATTTTCTCAGGTGAAAACACCACAAATTCTCTCTGAGGAGCAACTGAAGATTCTTCTAGAAGAATGCCTATTGGAACAAAGAGCAGGAAGGGACAGCAGAGATACTGATGGATTACAGGCTGAATCTATCCAGCCTTCCATATCCTTCATCTCTCAGTTGCTGAATATGTCACCGAATCTCAGCAGTCCTGAGGTTGAGAATGAAGATATCCTTGAAAACAGAGAATGTGAAACACCCGGCTATTATCTTGCCAAAGCGTTGGGTGGCCAACATCACATAGCAGAATTTTTGGTCACTGAAATAAAGGAAGAGGAGAGACCCAGGCCTGCAGGGGATGTAGCTTCTAGTGACATAGAAGGTTACTTTATGTCAAAAACACTTGGCATCGGAAGGCTGAAGAGACCTTCTTTCTTGGATGATCCTTTGTACTGTATCAGTGTAGACAGCGGCCTATCATCTGAAGATGAGCATCTGAAACTGATTGATTGTCCTACTGAAAGTCCATCGATGCCTGGTGAGTCATAGAGAAGATGAGCCTTAGAGAGGCAATGGTTACAACCTAGTCGGTTCACCCCAAGGATTTGCTCTAATCCAAAGGTGAAATAAGGAGCCACTTTTACAAATCCCTAAACTTTACAAAAATTCATCCTTCCAAAGGTAAGATGAGGAGCCATTTTTACAAATTACTAAACCTTAGCAAAATTCTTCAGTATTTCCATGATTTGCCGTCTATATCCACTGGTATAGAGAACATCTTTTCATATGTGGGTTGGAGCTCCTCTGAGCTCCTTTCTAATTCTTGCACTCTAATTCAACCAATCCATTCTTTCTCACCCTTTGAGAATCTTGGGCAGATTCTTCTGTGTTGTTTGAACAGAGAATCTACCCAGTGTCCTTTCTGATGCATCCCTTTAGTTCTTTTGATATTTTATCAGTATCAGTGCAACATTTGGATCCTCTCCCGTAAGACATCCCTTACCGTCCTCTCCCGGTAAGACATTTAATCAGTTAATCAATCGTCAAACATTTATTTTGCCTCTGCTATATGCCAGGGATTGAGGATACAAAGACAGAAGCAAAAATTATCCCTCTCCTCAAGAAATGTACATTTTATAAAGGAAAAAAAACAGGTACAAGTTTCATCCATAGAATAATAAATCTCCTCATTGATAGACCTTACAGCATTTCTTGAAAATAGGTCATCATTAAAAACATGTTGCAGCTTCCTTATACCCCTAAGGAATCTTTCCACTGCCCTTTAGGTAACCCACAACTTTAATTCCATAGTTATGTGAAATTCTTGTCATGACATTACATTACATAGGATGAGTTTGGTAGTCAAGAGCTATATCAGTTTTAATCATAATTAATTCAGCCAGCCTAAAAGAAAAAAAGTTGAAGCTAGTTGACTATTTAGGAAATTAGATTTTCTCAGGCCTTTGGCCTGTTTTTTTAAAATTTTTTTTTATTTTTAACAAGTGTTTTTAAAACTTTGGGTTACAAATTTTCTCCCTTCCTCCCTCCCCACCCACCTTTATTGAAAAGGCAAGCATCTCGATACAGGTTATAGATGTGTAGTCATGCAAAACACTTCCATAGTAGTCCTATTGTGAAAAACTAAGTATATTTTCCTCATCCTATCCTACCCCCCATTTATTCTGTTCTCTCTTTTGACCCTGTCCCTCCTCAGAAGTGTTTGCTTTTGATTATCCCCTCCCCCAATCTGCCCTCCCCTTTATCAACCCCCTGCTCTCTTGTTCCCTTCCCCCCTTATTTTCCTGTAGAGTAAGATAGATTTCCATACCCCATTGTGTATGTTATTCCCTCCTTAAGCCAAATCCTATTAGAGTAAGATCCACTCATTCCCTCTCACCTTCCCCCATTTCTCCTCCACTGTAAAAGCCTTTTCTTGTCTGTTTCATGTGAGATGTTTTACCTCATTCTACTTCTCCTTTTCTCCTTCCATTATAATCTTCTCACACCTCTTAATTTTATTTTTCAGATATCACCCTTTCATCTTCAACTCACCCTGTGTCCTCTATCTATCTATCTATACAAACATATAATTTTTTCTCTCCTACTATCCTAATACTGACAAAGGACTCAGGAGTTACAAATATCATCTTTCCCTGCAGGAATGTAAACAGGTCAGCGTTAATAAGTCTCTTATGATTTTCTCTTTCCTGTTTACCTCTTTCATGTTTCACTTGAGTCTTGTATTTGAAGGTCAAATTTTCTATTCAACTCTGATCTTTTCCACAGGAATGCTTGAAAGTCCTCTATTTCATTGAATGACCATTTTTTGCCCTGAAGGATTATACTCAGTTTTGCTGGATAGGTGATTCTAGGTTGTAGGACTAATTCCTTTGCCCTCTGGAATATCATACTCCATGCCCTCCGGACCCTTAATGTAGAAGCTGCTAAACCTTGTGTTATCCTGATTGTGTTTCCACAATACTTGAATTGTTTCCTTCTAGCTGCTTGCAATATCTTCTCCTTGACCTGAGAATTCTGGAATTTGGCTGCAACATTCCTAGGAGTTTTCCTTTGGGGATCTCTTTCAGGAGGTGATCGGTGGATTCTTTCCATTTCTATTTTGCCCTCTGGTTCTAAAATATCAGGGCAGTTTTCCTTGGTAATTTCTTGAAAGATGATGTCTAGGCTCTTTTTTTGATCATGGCTTTCAGATAGTCCAATAATTTTTATGTTCTCTCTCCTGGATCTATTTTCCAGGTCAGTTGTTTTTCCAATGAGATATTTCACATTCTCTTCTATTTTTTCATTCCCTTTGATTAGTGTTACAGTGCCTTGATTTCTCAAATTGTCCCTCTCTTCCAATTTCTCCATTCTAATTTTTAAGGAAGTATTTTCTTCAGTAAGCTTTTGGACTTCCTTTTCCATTTGGCCAATTTTGCTTTTTAGGGCTTTTCCTCATTGGCTTTTTGGACCTCTTTTGCCATTTGGGTTAGGCTATTTTTTAAGGTGTTATTTTCTTCAGTATTTTTTGGGGTCTCCTTTAGCACTCACTCTCAGTTTTTCCTCTACTTCTCTTACTTGCTTCTCAAAATCCTTTTTGAGCTCTTCCATGGCCGGGGACCAATTCATATTTTTCTTAGAGGCTTTGGATGTAGGAGCTTTGGCTTCGTTGTCTTCTTCTGGTTGTATGTTTTGATCTTCTTTGTCATCAAAATAAAATAATACAGCCTGACTCTTTTTACACTGCTTGCTCATGATCCTGGCCAGTTACTTGAGTTATAAACTCTTTGTTAAGGTAGGGGTCTGTTTCCAGTGTGGAGAATGTACTGTCCCAAGCTTCAGGGGTTTTGTGCAGCTGTTTTCAGAAATACTTCTAGGGACCTGTAAATTTTCAGTTTTTCCAAGATGCTATGATCAAGGGTGAGGTGTTTGCTCCTTTCCTGGCCTGTGCTCTGGTTTATGAGCACTCTTTTCTGTCTTGGAACTGTGAGGAGGGTTTCCTCTCCACAGCCACTACAAGCTCCACCACGCCAGCGTTCCTCCTTGCCCCAGGACCGCCACCCAGAACTGTGACCTAGATCCAAGCACGGGCAAAGCTAGAGAATCCTGCACTAGCAGAGAGATCCCTGCAATCCCCCTCTGATCAGCCACTGGATTCCCCCTCAGTCTGTGGGCTGGAAGCTCAGGAGGCAGCCTCTGCCCCCGCCGAGCTCGGGGACTAGAGCTGAGACCACCAACTTCTCTCTATCCCCACTGACACAGACTTTTCCCATTGACCTTCTAAGTTGTCTTTGGTGTTCATGGGTTGAGAAGTCTGGAAACTGCCACAGCTGCCCATGATTCAGTCCTCTGAGGCCTGCTCCAGGGTCTCTGCGGCCTGCGCGCCCAGAGTGATATACCTTTCTGATCAACCATCCAGGCTGTCTTGAGCTGGAAATTTGTTTCACTCTGTCTTTTTGTGGGTTCTGCTGCTTTAGAATTTGTTTCGAGCCATTTTTTTTATAAGTATTTGGAGGGGTTTGAGGGAGAGCTCAAGCAAGTCACTGCTTTTACTCCGCCATCTTGGCTCTGCCGCCCATCCCCCGGCCTGTTTTTATTAATGAAACTTTTATCAAAGTGAGAATTTAGAAGAGTACCATGAAGTGACCAGACCATACATACTTACTATAAAATGACATCCACTGGGTTGCATTTTCATGGATTAACTACTCATTTATGCAAAATTCTCCTTGACTCTTCAATGATCCACCCATAAAACGTTAGAAAATTTGTAATGATCTAATGACCTCTTTATTATATAGATACAGGTAGAAATACCACAGACACTTTTGATGTGAGTGGAGGGTAAATTGTCTGTTTGATTTAAAAGCATCTGTAGTTTTGATGATCACTCCAGGGGTGAAAACTATCGCCTTTGTGCTGTTATTAGAGAGTCTGTGGAGTCTGTCTCCAGCTCTGACTTTTCTTCAGTCCTGAGCTCTGGTTCCATACTTCCACTTGCCTATAGGACATTTCCTCTTAGATGTCTGGCTTGCACCTCATACCCACCATGTCTCAAACCAAACTCCTCCGCCCTTCCTCTAACCATGAACCAGCTCCTCTTCCTTCTCTGTTTCTATGAATAGCATGACCTAGGTTTGAAACCTTGTAATCTTCTACCCAAAGAAAGAGAGGATCATGAATATTATCTGTCTAACCCTACCAGTAATTATGACATGGTTTGGACTGTACCTGCCAATTTCCTTGGCACTACCAATAAAGAAGCTTCTTCTATCAATGCAGATGGGCACCTTCTCAGTAATATATACTAGTCTTAGAGAGTTGCCCAGGGCATTGAGCACTTAAGTGACTTTGTCCTGGGTCACATAGTCAGTAAGTGTCAGAGGCAGCGCTGAATTCAAGTTTTCCTGCCTCTAAGTCTGGCTGTCTTGGTCCAGCCTACATGGCAGGGTTGCTACTTACTTATCTCCCATTGTTTTTTAATATACTTATTGGTGTGCTTAACTTATCTCACCTACTAGATTGAAGCTCCTTGAGGACTTTTTGATTTAGCTTTGTATTCTGCCCCTCTGCCCATAGCTGGGTGACCAGCAGAGTGCCTTTTGCAAACCAGTGTTCAATTGTATCTGAATAATTTTGTTGTTCAGTTGTTTCAGCCATGTCTGTGTCTGTGTCTGAATTTTCATGACCCCATTTGGGGTTTTCTTGGCAGAGATACTGGAGTGGTTTGCCATTTACTTCTCCAGCTCATTTTATGGATGAGGAAACTGAGGCAAACAGGATTAAGAAACTTGCCCAGGGTCACCCAGCTAGTCTGAGGCTGGATTTGAACTCAGGAAGATGAATCTTTCTGATTCCCAGTACTCTTACCACTGTACTGCCTAACTGCCTGCGAGTGAATAATAGTTAGCATTTATATAACATTTTAAGATTTGCAAAGCACTTTACAAATATCACATCATTTGATCCTTACAACAGCCCTGGGAGATGGGGGCTACTATTATCCCCATTTTACACATGGGGAAACTGAGGCAGGTA